TTTTTTGTAAAGAGTCACGGAGAGGAGGCCAGTGGTTGTGTAGTCCTTAAGGCACTGGACTCCTGTAGGGCTAATTGTGGTTTGAGTTGCAGATCCATCAGCTTGAAATTCACACCAGGCACATGTGTATGTGTGCCGAAAAACCCAATAAGAGAATGGAGAAGAGATTGTGGCATGGGCCATTTCCACTGGGGTGATTTCTTACTTTCCCTCTCACTGTCTCTCTGTCTTCTGGTGAGAGTAATGCGCCCTATGGCATAAACCTTAAAAAAAAGAGGAGTCACAGAGAAGTTAATAGTAGTTGGAGGGAGATGCAAGGACAAGGGAGGAGACAGTGGTTGGTTGTTGGTGGGAGATCTCTAACAGATTTGTATGTAGTGGGAATGACCTAGTAGACAGGAGAAGTTGCTGATGCAGGTGACAGAAGGTCAAGTACCCCAGTTACAGGGATAGCTAACTTACAGAGAGGGGCTGCTCTCAGCAACATGCACAGCTCGACCATAGTAACTAGAGAGAAGAGCCAGCCGGTAGGGAGGCCTATAGGTATTAAGTGAAATAAAGGCTCTGAAGAGGCAGGAAGATTATTTGTAGTTGGGCAGTCCTAACCTTTCTAAATGAAGGCACAACTTAAGATTGACTTTGATGAAGTTCTGTATCAGATGATGTGTTTAATTGATTTTATATTGAACTTCTTATATATTTCAACTCACTTTTCCCATCATTTGCCAGGATTTCAACATGAAATTTAAAGTCCATTTTTGCAGTTGTTTAAATGAGAATTTAAATATTGCTCATTTTAACAATCTAAAAAATGTGTAATATGAAGTTATCTTTTCCCAAAGTAATCATTTTCTTTTATTTTTCTCCCTAATTTCAGGAACAAACTCTAGCCCTTAGGAAAGAAGGAATTGGTGTCGTTTTGGATTCTGAACTGCCTCATTTGATTGGCATCGATGATGACCTTCTGAGTACTGGAATCATCTTGTATCACTTGAAGGTAGAAACTGCTTAAGTGGAACATTCTAATTTTGTTTCCAGTGTTCCCTTTAGACACTAGCAAAGGTTTATTATAATACTCTATGGCCATGAACACAAGTATTAAATTAAAGAATATACAACAAACCCTTGAGCTCTTTGGGAATTTTCAACGGTTCATTGGGATTCTGTAGTATTTGAAGTTCCCATATTTATGTAGTTCTGAAGCTAAATGATGAGTGATTCATCTCGCCTTCTGTTTTGTAGAATCAATAATAGAGAAGTAAAGAACGAAAAAGGCAAGGCAGACTAAAGAAGAAAAGTTACCAGCATCTAGAATGGGATTTGTTATGTGAACAGTTTCCTGGTCCCTTGTGGTGGTTAGAAAATTTTGCCTCCATCCATAGTATCAAGCTTGGTTCTGAGCAGTCTCTTCACATCAAGAGAGCAGAATCCCACAGAAGTATCAGTAGTTGCTTCTGTGACCTTGACATTAGTTTCTTCTCTCTTATCTAAGACTTAAAATGAGAATGGTCCTGAAGTTATGTTTTGTGTGCTGCTATTAAATTCATATATACAAAGAATCCCCTGGCCATTGGGCTAGAATGTCCCTTGAAAGGATCACAGACATCAGTGAGATTACTGTCATGAGCAAAGTAGTGCTGCATGCCAAGTTGAAAGACTAACATTGATGAGCACTAAGCTGAAGGAGATGCACTGTCATTTTCCTGACAACCTCTGTCATGGACCAGGGCTTCAGTGAACTCTCATTATATGGAGGCTGTAGCCTGCCCTCGACGTTGCTCATCTCATTGGCCACCAGAGTGCTTGAGGATAAATTGATGGAGAAATGAGCAATTCCTTTTTTCTTACTAATGAGTTTTACTTGACTTTTCTTCCTAGGAAGGTCAGACATATGTTGGTAGAGATGATGCTTCAACAGAACAAGATATTGGTGAGAATCTTTATCAATGACTGCCTCCTAATGATATTTTTAAATCATACTTAATGAAAAAAATATGTTTTTAATGGTTAATTTGAAGTAATTATATAAAAAAACTTTTTCAAATACAGTACCTGGACAGCATATATCATTCTGTCACTTTGAACACAACTTAAGTTGTGAAATAATTGATTTAGCAAATGAAATGGAGCTATGAATTCTTTTCTCCACTCTACATATATTCTACATCCCATCAGGTGTTTTTGTAATACGGTTATTTTAAAACATCGCACAGTGGTCACAGTGGGACAGTGACTGGTGGAAATATGCCAACAGACATCCCTAAGTGACAGGAAGGCCTTTTAATGGAAAGCATGCAGACACAATACAGAGATTGTGACTGAAAGTAGGAGACAACACATCATATACACACATAAGGCAGCAGGACTTTCTGGGTTTCCTGTAAGTCTTCACTTGGTATCCAGATAACCAGTGATTTCAGCCTGAGGAGATAAGGTCCTATCAGGCTTTAACAGCCTGATTTAGATAATTGGTGGTGGTGATAGTTGGTATGTTTGTATGAGTGGCACGGTGGAGATTGGCAGGGAGAAAGTTCTTTCTTCTGAGCAATTTTCAGAATTGCTGGTGATAAATCTGCCATCTTTCCAAGTGTAAGCTATTAATCACACAAACCCTAGCATATTCCTACGTGTATTTACTCTTTACTGTGAGACTGAGAGAGCTGAAAAACAATTCCCCAAGTCCCCAGGTTCAACAGTTTTTTGAGTAGAACTTGGCATCAGGCTTTCTCTTCTAATTATCGAGTCATCTGTGTGGCTGTAAATGATGATGGGTGGTAAGAACTCATGTTTTCTGTGATCATAGAAGTACAGTAATGCAATTCCATGGAGATAGTGAGAGCGATTTGCTCTGTATTTCTGAGAGGCTGGCCAAGAATTCTCTAAAATCATGTAGGTTTATTTGATAAGTATGTATACCAATGCCTGGCCGTTCTCTAAACCAGGATATCCCAGGACAAGTATACATGATTTGGTAAATTTTGGCAGCTGTGTGCCCTGAGAGGTCTGCAGAGATGATGTTCTCTTGGAATTGGCACAGGCTAAGACAATGGGCAGTTCAGTGCAGCTTCTGGAAACTTCCCTGGACCAAGATCCATGTCACGCCAAGTCTGAGTGTAGAAGTTACAGTAAGTCCTTGACCCTTGGAGCGCTTTTGTCCATTTTTGTTTTCTGCAGCCTTTGGGTGGCTGGTGGAAGAAATTTATTCAGTATCAAACATAGCAGCTCAGCGGTATTAGTTACTCAGACGTTTTCTCCCAAAAGATGAAATCAGTTAACATTCAGCATTTTTTTCCTTATACAGGTGATATCCAGATCCTTTGAGGTAACACCCAAGGGATGCCTTTAGTTCTATCAATTGATGCCGTGAACTCTTAAAATTCAGTTTTTTCATTAAACACTTATGTTCATTGCACGATACTTATGTGAAAAAGGAAGGGTCTTCAAAAGGAAAAATAAATGAGCAGACATTATCAGTGTAATAGATACCAAAGGTGGAAAAAAAATACTTTCTCTTTTGTTTTCTCCTAACTTAGTTCTTCATGGCCTCGACTTGGAGAGTGAGCACTGCATCTTTGAGAATGTTGGAGGGACGGTGACTCTGATACCCCTGAGTGGGTCTCAGTGCTCCGTGAATGGTGTTCAGATCATGGAAGCCACACACTTAAATCAAGGTATCCAGATTTTGGTTTTTCTTTGTATCTATTGTAGGGAGGGAAAAAAACTGGCAAAGTGGTAGGGAAAACCTATGTATCTTAGAATTAATTAGGAGTTAAATATACACAGAGCAAAAACTATTTGCTAAAGTCATGATATAATTTTTCTGTGCAAAAAATGTGTCCTAACTTTCCAGACAACCTAATATTTTTCTCTTCCACTTTGCTAAAGGGCTTCTTTATAATGTCCATTGTCTTACTGAATCAAACATGAATATATGCATTAATTTTCTTTAAAGTTATTGCTGTAATGCAAAGATGACATTAATGGAATCACACTAAAAAGTACCCCTGAAATAGTGTGCTCTGAGCAGCATGATGAACACAGCAAGACCCTGTCTAAAAAGCCAGGTGTGGTGGCACACAGATATACTCCCAGGTACCTGGGAGGCTGAAAAAGGAAGATCAGGTGACACAGAAACACCCTGTCTGAAAAAAGAAAAAAAATAATATACTCCTCAAATGCTAAACCTTAGCACTATGGTTTCCTTTAACATTTTTATTTCAATTATTTTATTTATTGTTTTATGAATAGTTTTATTTACAAAATACATAGAAGATTTGGTATCATGTCTTTTTCTTTCAGTATTACAGAAAAGTTACAGGACTAGTACAAAGAACTTTTTTTTTTTTTTTTAAGAGAGACTTCTGGTATAAGATACATGCGCTCACCAGAGAGACACAGAGAAACAGAAAGTGAGAAATTACGCCTGTGGGGATGGCCATGCTTCAATCGCTTCTCCTCCATTTTTCTCTCAGGACTTTGGAAATTCACTCACACACACATACACATACACACACACATATACATACATACACACACATGCACGCACCCAGCATGATAGGTCCGGAACTTGAACCACGATCAACCACGTGGGATTCCAGTGACATAAACATTAAACCAATTGCTAGTCCCAGTACAAAGAACTTTTTAATCTCAGAACCATTTGGAAATAATGGTACCCATTGTTGCTGAATACCTCAGTATATATTTTGTTTAAAATATCCTGTGTAACTTCCATACAGCCATCTAAATTAGGAAACAGATACACTGATACATTGCTGCCACCCACCGCCATACACTCACAGTACATTCATATTTCACCATTTGTGACAGCAGTGTCCATAAGGGGTCCAGAGTTCAGTCTGGCATCCTGTTTTGCTTTTGGTTGCCCCATCTTCCTAGTCTCCTTCAGTCTGGAAGTGTTCCTTAATCTTCAGTTGACTTACATTCACTTGGAAATTTTGAAAATGACACGTGTTGTGACCAGCAGAGTATGTAGCAGTTTCAATGCTGATTCTCACATGGCTGAGCACGGTTCACGTTCTGGACCTGATGGCTTGAAAATCACGCCAGGCACATGGTGTACATGCCTCAAATCCCAAGAGGAGAGTGGAGGAGAAGGAATTGTGGCGTGGCCATCCCCCCAGAGAGAGGTTTCTCACTTTCCCTGTTACTGTCTCTTGTCTGTCTCACTCTCTCTGGTGCACGCATGTGCCCTAAGGCAAAAACCTCTATTTTTAAAAAAAGGGCACGTGTTATGTTGTTGAACGTCCTACACAGATGCGGGATTTATCTGATGTTTCCTCATGATTAGACTGATCTTAGAAGTTTTTGATGGGAAGACCAGAGAAACGATGCTTTCTTTTTCTCATATCCCATCACACAATTTCCATTTACACCATTACTGATGTTCACTTTTTTGATTTGGTTGGGAGCTTGCAGACTTTGCACTGTGAAGTTACTTGCTGCCTCGTGTTATTCATAAGCGTATCGGAAAGGTGGTTTGAGATCATAAATATGCAATTCTTTGTCATACTTTCACTCACTGGTTTTAGGATCCATTAAATTTTTAATTTTTTTGGCTGAACTATTTTTCTAATGGTTGCCAAATGGTGATTTTATTTCTTTCATTTTTTCTACATTTATTGTTGGCTTTTTTACTCTAAGAAAGAGCTTTTTCTTGCCATTTATTTATTTAAATTGATAGAGTCACAGGACTTGCTGTTTTATTTAGTAGTTTTGGCTTGGTTAGTTGGTTTGTTTTTGTTTTTGCTATAGGATGCATGCACTCACCAGAGAGAGAGAGAGAGAGAAAGAGAAAATGAAAATGAGAAATCACCCCCCAGGGGCAAAGCCATGCTTCAGCCCCTTCTTTTCCTTTCTCTTCCATTCTCATCTCAGGATTTTGGATAGGTATACACACCCAGTGTGTTTTCAAGCTGTTGGATTTGGCACTCAAACCTCACAGTTGGCAATGTGGGATACAACCACCTTCACTACCCTGTCCCCCTTGGCACAATTTTGTCTTTTCTTTTTCTTTTTTTTTTTTTTTTAATTTTTGCCATAGAGCACATGCACTTGCTAGAGACAGAAACAGAGAGGGAAAGTAAGGAAAGTAAGAAACCACCCCTCAGTGGGAATGGCCACACAGTTTCTTCTCTGTTCTCCTCTTGAGATTTTGGGCATGCACACACACCTGATGCATTCTCAAGCTTTCAGGTCTGTGACTCAAACCGTAGTTGGCCAGGCGCTTTAACCACCATTCCGCCTGCTGGCCCTTGGTCTTTTCTTTATTTAAGGATTTTTTCTTTTTTTTTTTCTTTTGCCATAGTGGACTGACAGGTGGTGTGGTGACAGAGGTGCTAAACTCCAACATGGCCATGGTGGTGGAAATGTTGGACTCCCACATGGCCAACTGCAGCCAACTTGGTGACTTGCTTTTTCACTTTCCCTTTCTCTCTCTTTCTGTGGTAAAATTAAAAATAAATAATAATAACAAATAAAATTAATTAAAATGAATAAATAAATATTTTTTTTAAAAAAAGGTTTTTGCCACAGGGCACATATGCTTGCCAGAGAGACACAGTGAGAGGGAAAGTGAGAAATCACCCTCCAGAGGGATGACAGTGCTGCAGTCCCTTCTCTGCTGCTCTCCTCCTGGGACTTTATGTATGCACACACACATATGCCCAGTGTGGGTCTCAAGCTGCCAGATCCAGGATTTGAACTGCAACCAGCCAGTGCCTTAATCACTATGCCACCTGCTGGCTCTGTAAGTTTGTTTTTATTATTGCTTATTTTGATGCTCAAATTGTCTCAGATTTGGTTAAGAGGAGATCATCAAGCTGGTTTCTGTGTTTGTTCGACTTGTTCTTACTGTTCTGTAAGCATTTTCTTACTGTTTGGCACAAGATATTCTAAGCTTTCATGTTCTTTCCTGGAATCAGCCAGTTCTCCAATGAGCCCTGGTTTCTTGAAGTGGAGAATAGTTATTAGAAACCAAGATCTGGACATCAGATGTGTGTCTTTGTTTTATCCTGCTGTGACAAAAATACTTCAGACTAGATCATTTACAGTGAGCAGGAACTTACTTGATTCACAGTTCTGGAGGCAAGGAAGTACGAAACAGGAGGGCTGATATCTGACTAGGGACAAGGGCTGGTATCTGGCTAGGGTTTTCTTACAACATCATCCCAAGGTGGGAGAGGAAGTGAGAGTGGGACGGAGACCAAGCTCATTGTTTTATAGGAAACCCACTCTCCGATAACAAACTCACTCCCACATTAATAGCATTAATCCATTCATGAAGATAGAATCTTCATGGCCTAATCACCACTTAAAGGTACCACTTGTTAATACTGTTACATTGAGGATTGCTTCCAACACATACTTTTTGGGGAACACAGTCAAGCTATAATGATGTGCCCATTCTTTTGGGATATCACTGCTTCCATGTCCTGTCTGTGAAAAGAGTTAGGAAAAAAGTTGTGTGTGTGTGTGTGTGTATGTGTGTATGTGTGTGTATGTATGTGTGTGTGTGTGTACTATGTTTATTTCTGTATGTATCTATATTGGTAATCTGGAATGTTTATATTACACTATATTTATTGCTAACCAAGTCTTCATACCAATATACCTATGTCTCTAATTTCAGCTGGTACCATAGGGTTCATTCTGGTTTTCTCCTTATTCATGACAGTAAACCTGTCCCTTCATCCTTTTCTCATTCGGGAGACTGCTTCCTCCTGCCCAAGCTGTGACTCTCTTGCAGGGTGTCCCCTGCCCTCACCCTTCCCTTAGCACAGAGACCATCCTCACCCCAAGACTTGTGTCTCCCACACCAGTGCTGATGTCCTGAGCTTATACATGCCTACTGGCTTTTGGACTGAATTATGTCAGAAGGAATAAAAGATGTTGACATGTCCTAAATCCTCTGTTGGTATGTTATGCCTCGTCTGTATGATTCAGTTTTTAATAGTCATGTACATGACAGGAATTGAACAGATGGGAACTGGAAAACATGCAGTGTGTTGGTGTTAGTCAAGTTGTAAGAAGAAGGCAGTTGCAAAGAGTTATCTCAGAAAGGACAGACACATAGCTTGGACCTGGAAAATCTTAATTTTTAGAGGAGGGCATGGAGTCCATCAAAGACAGTTTAAAAGCAGCTGATAGAGCACCTGTTTATATACTTATTTTCAAATCATCCACCCATCTGTCAATGTCCATCTGATTTTTTTTTTTTTTTTTTTTTTGTCTCTTAATAGTTTTCAGTATCAAGGTAACTTAAGCTTGAGAAACAGCTGAGTACCCTGGAACTGGTCAGCAGTGAACTCTCAGTGATTATTGCCAAAGCAGCTTTTCATGCTTCTTTCCAATCTGGACAAGGGCCCTGGTGCTATGGGATGGAGAAGCAGGTTCTTGACAGGCAGCAGTGGTCATGGTGCGAGGCCGTCTCTATCTTGAGACCAGAAAGTCACCATGATTGGTTGACAGTCAAGAGATCACTGTGTAGGGTTCTTTAGTGGCAGTCCTTACTTAGGGACTCACAGGCTCTACTGCTGATAGCAGAGGTTATTGGAGGGTACACAGTAAACAAATGAGCTCACTGATGAATCATGCAGTTGGGATCTGGACCAGAGCCAGACCACCCCACCCGCCTATCATCTCTCAGGGC